CCTGACCCACCTGCTGCACCCCTCAGCAATGTACTTCATCAATCTGCCTGTTCTGCTCCCCACTCTGTCTCTGGTGAATCCTTTCACTGCCCCTGCACCTCTGGCCTGTACCCCAGTTCTGATACATAAATAAATAAATATTTTTTAAACTTTAATTCTATTCATGGCTGCATAATATTCCCTTATGTGTATCTATCACATTGTTTATCTGTTCACTTGTTGATGGACACCTGAGCTTCATCCTTTTGGCTGTTGTGCTATATACACGGTATACCTGGTGCATAAGTATTTTTTCAAATCCCTGTTTTCAGTTCTTCAGGCCTGGAAGTGGAAATCCTGGATCATATAGTGAGTTTGACATCTAGCTTTTGGAGGAACTGAATTGCCATCCACTGTGACAGCACCATTTTACACACCTGCGTGGTACATGAGGGTTCTGCTCTTTCACACTCTCACTAATACTTGTTATGTTCCTTTTGCTGCCTTTTAAAATCATGACCATTCTAGTGCAGATGAAGTGGTATCTCATTGTGCTGGGTTGGTTTTCTTTTTGTTTGACCTCACAGTGGGAAGAATCCTGACTGAACTTCCTGGGCAGTTAACATCAGGTTAGGAATTGTCTGGACTTTACACATTTGTGCTTTGTGTGGTGTAGGCAAAGTTATAAACACTCAGTTCTGCAACCACTCAGCTCTGACTGGAACCTGCTCTTGACCTCTGCTTCATCCCTCCTCATCTGGCAGTTTAACACGTCTTGTGAGCAGGGCTGGACGCTATTAAAGCAGCAGGTAGCAGGCCTAGCAGTGTGACATTGACATTTGATAGTGCCCAAAACATTTTCACACCAGCTCTTTTGAGAGGTAGACTCCCTTCATCAGCTAGGAAATTATGACTTAATGTTAAATGGCTCATTCCCAGCCATACCACAGAGCAATGTGAGGGACAGACTGGAGTCAAAAATACTCAGAATTAGACGACCCTTCGAGGGTACAGAACCCAGGTCTCCTGGTATCTAGGCCACATTTCTTCCTGCACAGAAGGGGACCCCCACAAACCGCAGTGCTGGGCTGACGGCTCACATGGGCCTCTTTGCCACCTTCCTGGTCCTGGCTTCATACAGGCTGTCTTTCCTCTCCAGGTTCAGCAGCGTCTATCAAGGAGGATGCTAGCACTGCCCAGGGAAGCCTGGGACAGGGACATGGAGAACTAACACAAATAAATGCTTTTAAAAAAAAAAGTTACTTTGAGTCTTTTCTGTTCCCATTCCTAGTACAGAATTTCCACCTTAACACAGAACTCCATCACAAAATGTTTCTCTCGTGCACATTTTGTACATTCTCCCAGGGAGATGGCCACCCCGCTCTCTGCTGGACAAGCTCTGACTTATCTGTTAAGACCTCTACTAGATCCACCAAGGATTGTCTGTCCATCTCTGGGCTCCCCCAGTCCTGCATTCCTCACTCTGATCAAGCAATTACTTCCTCATCAAAGTATCTCCAGGCCCTTGCATGTTGCCTGGGCCTCGCTGAGGTTCAGACAAGGAAAGTTAAACGAATGAACAAGTAAATAGACAGAGTTCTGGGGACTGGTTGTCTCTGAAAATGCTGCTCCAATATCCCTGAAACATAGGGGACCCGGCTTCACTTTGAACGCCTCAGTCACGGCAGATCCACACCCAGGTGGTCCCACACAGCACTGAGTCATGAAAGCACCGATGTGGATGAAGCTGAGTCCCCAGGTTGATTGTTTTAAGAAGGGTGGGAAGTGTGAAGAGGAGGGGAAAGTCCCAATGCTGTCAGCTCTACTGACTGGCCACCTGGACTATCTCACGCCCCAGGATTCGAGCCTGCTGGAGAAGGGCTTCCTCAGGTCAGCCTACAAAGCCCACAGCTTTACCCAGGGATGGAGGAAAAGAATAAGTCACATCCAGACACAACAGAATGTGCCAGCTGCAGAGCTAACAGTGAGCTGACATCCAACCATCCCCAGCAGGTTGTAAAATATAACATTAGGTCACGGTGGCACGCAACGTGCTCCCGTGTCATTCAGAGCCTCCCTCAGTCCTCAGCGACACCTGAGTGAGGTAGGCATGTGGCCCCTGTGTGACAAAGGAGAGGGTGGGGGCTCAAAAAATTGGGGCGCTGGCCACCAGCTAAGCAGAGGCAGCCCAGACCCAGCATCCTGGTTTCCCGACTCCTCCCAGAGCCCACTGCTCTGCCTGACACCTGCCTGATGGTTCCTGAGAGCAGGATGGGATCCTGAGGAATAACCGAGAGCTTGGCCCGCAGGTCCTCCAGGCCGATGCTGCAGATGTCCACACCATCGATGAGGATCCGGCCTGCCAGGGGCTCCACCAGGCGGAAGAGGGCCACTCCCAGAGAGGACTTCCCTGCCGGGCAAGAAGCGGGATCTCAGCCTGTGGGGTGGAAGGCAGTGCAGCTCACACCTGGTATCTGCCTGCCCCCTCCCCTGTGCCTGTTCCTTGTCACGCGAATCCCCCAGGGCAGGAGCAGGCTGCGTCTGCTCCCCGTGGCTCCCACAGCCTTGCAGCCCAGGTCTGAGGGCCAGACAGAGGTAGTGGGTTATGGAGCCCCGTGAATGTTTCATTTCGCACACACAGTGTTCCTGTTATTTTCCCAATTGTTTGCCAGCGTTTGGGGAAAAAAAAAAACAAAACCCAGTCAACATATACAAACTCAAATGGCAGGATTTTCTTGAAACTCGGTAGAAGGGCAACATTGGTTCGGCTTCCCCAGCAGCAGGCAGCCCAGCTGAGGTAGTCGCTGCCCTGAGGGAGCTCTGCTCTCCAGTGGGCATCACCCTCCCCGCCTGGCACATCACGCCCAGGACCTTCTCTCTCATCCAGGATCTTGTCAGGCCCAAAGGCACTGAGTTTCAGCCTCTGCTCTAAGAGGCAGCAGAAGCTGTGTGATGCCTATCGTTCCTGCTCCCTGGCAGAGAGTACGTGCTCAGTACGGGCCCATGAAATGACCAGAGCCCCTTGGCCCAGCCCCCAAGAGCTCCTCTCTATCACACCCCCGCTTCCAGGTCAGCTGCTGGTGAGAGGTAAAAGGAGAGGGACCCGCTCAGGGTTGTCACCTTACAGGAGTGCAAGTCCAACAGAAACCTGAGGATCAGAGACCCTTGAAGGTCTCTCCCCTAAGGGAGCCCGGGGATTGAGGGGCATCTGCCTGCAGGAGGCAGCTGCAGCGGCACAAGCAGGAGGCAGCAGAATCTGAACAAAGTGTCTGAAGAAAGTGTCTGAACAATGCAAAGAGCAGAGAGAGCAAGCAACATTGGAGCCGTCCCCATTGGAGCCGTCAAAGCAGAGGACAGGAGGAAACAAAGTGGGCAGGAGAGAGGCAGAGAACATGGCAAAGGGGAGGTTTAGAGCAAAGGTCTAAGAAGGGGTGGGGAAGGACAAGGAGAACCCAAAAGTCCCCCTCGCCCTGCTCCTCACTCTCGCGGAGACCCCCAGCTGCCCCTTCGCTGTCCATGCTTCACCGCTCTGCTCAGATGGTCTGGAGCCCACGACCACAGCTCGGGGCCCGCCGCCCGTTACTCTGCTTAACTGCGGCCCTCTCGCACAGACTTGGCATTCACCGCCACCTGTAACGGACTTAGGTGCCGTTTCGCTCGATAACTGGTTCAACGTCAGCTCTTCACCAGAATCCCAAGACAGCAGGGACTCTGGGTCTGGTTCACCAGTGTCTGGCGCCAGACCCACCATACAGTGAGGGCCCACCAAAATAAGGGGACCGCCCAGTTCCCCTTCCCATCTGAACACTGGTCTTCGTGGTCAGATAAGGAGGAACAGGGACACTGAAGCTGGTGTGCCACACAGCATGTGGGCTCGTTTCAAACAAGGTGGCTTCTCTGTGAACTTGCTTCTGCCCCTAGCAGACAGGCTTAGTCTGTCAGGTGTTAAACAGTATGAGAGCTACATCTGTGAGCTTGAAAACTAGGGGAACAAGTAACCTGGACACAGGGACCTCTGCTCGTTGGCTAGTGGTGGCACCTGGCATAAAGGAAAACAACAAAAATTATTGACAAAAAAAATGTGCGGGGCCACTGAGTGGACACGGGACCCCAAATTGGTCTAACACCCAAAGCTAAAGCTGAGGGCAGATGCCCAGGGATGCGCCGCTCACCGGAGCCAGTCCTTCCCACGATGCCCACCACTTCTTGGCCCCGGATTGTCAAGCTGATGCCCTTGAGCACAATGGGTGTGTTGTCTCTGTACTTCATCTGATAATTCTGGAAGGTGATTTCCCCATGCTGTGGCCACCCGCGTGGGCAGCACGTGCCTTCCACGTGTAAAGGCGCCTCGGGGACACACATCTTAATATTCAAGGATGAAAAAAACAAATCAACCGTTAGCAGCCATCTCTGCCCACGCCCTGCTGACCCGCCGGCTGCCCACTGTTGGGGGTGTGACCCACCCAGACTGCCCTTCTCTATGGTGCAGTGTCCCGCTGTGAGGTCAAAGAGCACCCCGAGAGGGACATCTGGCCCTCCTCACCTGAGATGTACATCATTTCATCCCAGATGTGCGAGGCGCCCCCATAGCTACCCCGTTCTTATTACCATAGAGGACTTTTTCTATCGTATTGTGTGAGGACTTTTTCTATCATATTGTGTGAGGTATTAGTAGCGATAAGGAGGACAGTGCTCACTTGCCCCTAGGGGGCATGTCTAGAGTTCTTTCGCTTGCCCTGCCAGGCAGGTATTTTTAGCTGCATTTCCCAGGCAAGGAGCTAGGGGCTCCCATCAGGTGGGATGACCCGCTTAAGATCTCAAGGCTGCAAGGCTGATGTGCGCATAAGCTGTGACAAAGACCTAGGCCCTGACTCTGTTGGGAGGAAAGGCTGCACAGAAGCAGGGTCACGTGACTGCCTTGAGTCGCGCTGGCCACGGCCAATGTGATGTCTCAAGAGCATCTCTCAGGATTAAAACAAAGCCCCGGGCAGATTCTGCTCACATAGCAGGCAGGGGACCTGACTTTAGGGGGCGGTGTGATCTTGAGCTTGGCTAAGCCCCACTTTCCCCTTCTGGATAATGGGGACAATTCAGTCCACTCAGAATTTTGCTTTGTGATTCCATGAGATAATTGCTGTCAAGGGAGGAGCGCAGTGCCTGGCCCATAAAAGGCCTGCAAGCATTTCTAGGACCCAGGCACCATGCTAAGTGCTTTCCACAGTACATGGTTCAATCTGCTTCACTGAAGTAGAGACTGTGATCTTGCCCTTTACACAGATGGAATGAGGCCAAGTAAGTTGCCCAGTTTGCACAGCTGCTCCAAGAAGCAAAGCTCAAACTTGAACCCAGGTGATCTGGCTTCAAAATCTGGGCTATTAACTACTATGACTAAAACAAGAGCAATGCTATGTAGTTATTATAGCTATTTTTATACTTGGACAAATCTCTCATTCCTGAAAAGGGCAGATTATTCCCCCAAAGCCGGGAACACGGTGAAGGATGTGGCCAAGATGATCCAATAAAAGAGCTTCCAAAGTGGTTCGGGGAAGATGGGGAGAGAGTCCCGGCTCCTGGGGACGTCTCCACCCCAGGGTGCTGGACCTGCAGAGGTCACGGAGGCTGAGCCTGGGTTTGGATGTGGAACCTTCCAGAGCATCAGACGCACCTTCATGTACTGCAGAATCTTCTCGACAGCCGTGAAGTGCGCCTCTGTCTCCAAACCAATCCTAGCAGCCGCCTGGAAGTTGGCCGCCAGCTGACACAAAGGAGAACAGTTGGGGGTGGGGGGCGTCAAGCTTAGGGTGAGCTGAGGCTTGATGCTCCCCCACCACCAGTGACTCCTTAAACCACAATGTGTCCAGAGGAACGGAGTGGAGGCCTCGGGTGTCCCCATACTTCTGGGGTTAGCTGCAGCTCCTGAGGTGTTCAGGACGAGAATCTCCAACATGTTCTGCCTCTAGAAACCCCCGTGTGTCTGGCTGTGGCTCAAAACTCATCCACACCCCAGTAGCCCACACAGCCCATGCGCAGTGCAGCCCAGGCACAGGGAGCTGCAGCTCTTGAGAGCGACCCCAACTAACGGGGAAAGGAGCTGGTAGAGGAACGTGTCTGCCCAACCTGCAGCACCCCGTACGCATCAGGGTGCTGGGGGCCCCGGGAGAGGCTAGCTATGATGACCAAGAGCAGAGAACCTGGCAACTCTCATGATGGGGTGCCTCCTCCCCAACCTCTCTCTCCAACCCCTCAGTCCCAATTAATCTGCCCATATCCAAGTCCTTATCTCAGATGCCACCTACAAAGAAACCCAGGCTAAGAAGAGCCTTGGGGGCTCTCAAAAATTGGAGGCACCACTGATGAGGAAACTGAGACCCAGAGACAAGACATGACATACAGACAAGCCTCTGGAAGCTTCGAGCCCTGTCTTTATGCCCTTCACCCCCTTGACCCAGAGCCAAGTGGGTCTGCCAGGTGTGCCAGGCAGCAAGTTATTAGACATTCACACAGTGCTCTGCAGGTGCCAGGCCTGGCCCCGCACCCCAACACACCATGGTCCTGCCCTCAAGGCGTGTCCGGTCCTGGGGGAGACAGGCCACAGTGAAGGACAGCACACACAAGACTGCACCCCACAGGAGAGTGAGCACAGAGGCCGTGGAGTTCAGGACGCTCACCAGAGAGGGCCGGGAAGGGATCCCTGCAGGCGCTGGCCCTGGAGCGGCATTTTAAGGCACAGTGGGGCTCACACGCCAGCCTTAGGCCCCCCCTAAGAGGAGACGAGGTCCCGAAAGCAGAACAGCAGCTTATGCTTGGGGTCTCTGGGCCATGTGACCATGGCTGAGCAAAGGGCAGCAGAAGGGCAGGCGATGCCCAGCGTAAGTCGGGGGCTGGACGCCATCCTGAAGTGGCTTTTGGGAAAGGAGACTGCGGCCGGTAGGAAGACGCCCTTCCTCCATGCCAGGCCTGTGGCTGGCTCGCGCACAGTCGGTGGGTCACCTTTCTGCCTCGCTGGCACAGCCCCTTGTCACCTGCAAGCCCCTGGAGCCTGGTGCTCCAGCAAGGCTTGCTGACGTCAAAGCAATCGCGCCGGTGAGTGGCTTAGGTGTAGCCATGACACAGTTCTGGCCAGAGAAACATGAGGAAGGGTGAGAGCGGAAAACCGTTGCTTGTTCTTAAAAGGGAAACTTGGGAAACGTTTTCTCTTCTCTAGCCTGTGGTGGTTATCGAGGGAGAATATGTGGCTTGGGCTGTGGCAGCCATTTTGTGGCCTTGAGGAGACCTCTTCTTGTGAACAAGGAATAAAGCCAGGCAGTGGGTGCCAAGCCAGTGACCCAATTGTGGGGTCACGCTAGGTCACTAAATGAACCAACAGAAATGGCCCTAACCCAACCTCTGGTTACACCAGATGAGACACTCCCAGCCTGTTCTGAGCATTTTGAGCTGGTTCTGTGGCTTGCTTTCTAGCTCACAGCCAGAAGCTTCTCCAGCAGTTCCTTGGATACCTCTTGGGCCCACAAACCACACAGTGATTCTTGCGTCCCAAAGCCTGACCAAGGTTTCCTTAGCGTGCATGTAGACGTCGACACGGTACAGGTTGGTCCAAGGAAAAAAGAACATTTGGGGTCATGGGCTGAGATTCAGGGGGTCTGAGAGGCAGGCTCCTTAGCTTAGGTTACATGCGTGAGAAGGCAGGGAGTCATGAAGGTTCTGAGCAGGGCGGAGACAGAGGAAAACTGTAACCAAAAGGTTTGACGGGGAGGGGCGGGTTGGGGACTGCTACCCAGGGCAGAGATGAGATAGCCAAGAGGTAGCAGACACTGAGAAGAAAGAGAGAACCAGGACCATTTCAAAGTAAAGTCAGGTATCCAGGCAGGGCCTCTCAGTAGTCTCCTGTGACGGGACAAGCTGGGGAGAGCTTAGAGGAGGCACCTGCATGCCCCTCACCGCCCTCCTCCCCTCTGCACCAGGACAACTGTCTCTGAGCTCTGCCCTCTTGGTCCACATTACGCAGTGGCCAGGGGCAACTGGGGAGAGCTTAGAGGAGGCACCTGCATGCCCCTCACCGCCCTCCTCCCCTCTGCACCAGGACAACTGTCTCTGAGCTCTGCCCTCTTGGTCCACGTTACGCAGTGGCCAGGGGTTCTTCTGGCACCAAGTGCCCTATGACAGCAGTTCGGCGTTTCCCCAGAGTTCTGGGAGGACTCAAGAGCAGCTCTATACCAGGGCATTATGGACCTGCGGGAGTGCATGGGGGAGAAGAGGGGAAGCGGGAAGGAGGGAAAGGGGGAGGGCCGGGAGGTGAGAGAGGGAAGCAGGAGAGAATGGGGGGAGGGAGAATAAATGAACTTGCAGTTGGGAACGAAGCTGCCTCTCACCAAAGCTGCCTCTCACCAGCAGCAGAGGCATGTTCTGGTGACTTCCATCCCCGGAGCCCTGGCTCCCTACCTGTATGCCAGGAGCAGTAATAGCCACCATCTAGCAAGCATTTATTCTGGGCCTAGCACTACCCTGTACTTAACATGCATTAACCTCCACGTTTACACACATTGCTTGCAAGTCCAGGATTTGGGAACTTCCATTATCTTCTCTTTATGGAGGAGGACCCCGGGGAGGATTGTGTGGACAAGGGTGGGGTCACATACTTGCCAGTCACAGCAGAGCCCTGGAGGTGCCAAACCACACATTATCAGCCACTTTGCTGTGTCCCGTGGCAAGACCTCAAAGGAAGAAAGCACAGCAAGCACCGAGCCCAGCAGCGCTCAGCCTGCCCCAGGCTGGTCTTCAGCCTGCCCCAGGGTGCCCCAGGGTGGTCTTCAGTAAACCCCAGGCTGGGGCACCGGCTGGCCGTGGGCGTGAGCCTTGCACAGCTTCCTGCATGGGTTCTCTGCAATGGCAGACAGATGTGTGTGGAGCATGCACTGTGCCTGCGGCAGGGACCCGACAAGGAGCATGACAGAGCAGCTCTGCAGGCCTCAGCAGAGGGACACAGGGGTCTCTAGCCACACGACAGAGAAGAGTGAAGAATGGGGACCCCAGGAGGAGGGCAAGCCCTGGAGCTAGGCAGCCTGGGTTATCTGACGCAACCGCTGAGCCGGCCTTCATGGGCAGCCAGGCTGTGTGAGTCAGTGGCCATGAACCTTGGCCAGAGTCCCTCACCATGCCCAGAGTGCTGAGCACAGGACTGCAGGCTGTGACGCATGCACTCTGTTACACCAGAACCCCTAGAGAACTAGATCTCCACACACTGCCCAACCAGGCCTCCTCAGAATCCCTGGGGTAGTCCCAAGCGCAGACGTCCTGCACCTGAGACCAGAGACCCAGACTCGGGAGCCAGCCAAACCTCATGCACCCTCTGAAAGCAGTGGGGACCTCTTCACAGCCACCCAAGATGACTCGGGAAGATGTGACCCCAAAGAGAGTATAAACAAAGAGCAAAGTCCCTGGCCAGGAAACCAAGGGGTCAACCTTCTATGGTTCTGCTTCCAATTGCTGTCATTTGGACAGCTCCTGCCCTTCTCTGGCCACAGTTTCCCCACCAGTGGGCTGGACTCTGTTGCTGTGGGCTCCCCTTCAATCCCAAAGTTCTAAGAGTCCATCCAACACCTTTAAACCAGACTTCCTAGTACAGAGATCAGAAGGAACACGAAGCGGTGGGATCCAGAAGGCCTCACACACAGTCCTACAGTCAGAGTCAAGTTCACGATCAGAGCCCCAGGGACCCCCCAGACTGAGTCTGCCCATGAGTGACAGGCAAAGACAGGAACAGCACCCGCACCTGAGCGTCCTCCCTCACCTGCAAGACAAGGCTGATCGCCATGGCTTTATAGGAATAGGGACCAGAGGAAATGCCGAAAGACACGAACAAGGTCACCGCCAAGGTCACCAGGTTGGTCATAAGTTCTATCCTCAGTGCCATCCATCGCGTGGAAGACAGAAACAGCAGCAGGTAGCTGTTCTGTACATCAGTGAGCCTTTTAAACCTGAGAAAAAGAGAGAACACCCAAGCACACATTCATCTAACCCAGGTTTCCTCAGGGTAGGCCCCGGTGCTCCCTCCAATGGCCAGCCCCTGCTCCCACCAAGGGAACCTCACTTTTCTTTGGGGAATTCTCCCTGGCCCTCTCACAGACCCAGCAATGGCACAAGCCGGGAACCAGAGGGGGCTCTCTCTGCACATGCTCTCTCCTGGCCCCAGGCTGGCTCTGGGAGGACTAAATGACCAGAGTGAGCCATTAAGAGTGCTCTAGTGGCAGGACTTGGGAGAGAGTAGAGAGAAGCCTTCCCTTCAGGCCAACCACGCCAGAGGTACGTGTCTGCCTGGTTTGCTGCTCTGTGTCCAGCCGGTGTTAAGCACCTGCGCTTCTCAGAGTTGACTGGATGAATGCACTGCTCCGGGATCCTTGTCCCAGGGTCTGCCCACCTGCAGGTGCGCTCCAGTGCCGTGGCAGAGCTGGTGCCACGTTCAGCTGACATTCCAGTCAAAGGGCACACAGGGTACCGGGCCTGCCCGGCCTGAAGGTTAAGTTCAGCACTATCATCACTACAGCCTGAATTCGATCCCCAGCCAGGGAGCTGACCCACATGGCACAGCAGACCTCTCCTATCTCACCCGCTGCTCCCCTCAGCCGTGTATTTCAGAGGATCTGCCTGCTCTGCTCCCCACTCTGTCCCTGGTGAGTCCTTTTACTGCCAGCATTTCTGGCCTACACCAGAGTTCTTCTAGGCAAAAAATAAATAGATAAAAATTAATTTGTCCTCCCTCATGGTGCAAGGGGTTACAGCACACCACTATGATGCAATCCACAGCCACTGCAGCAGGAGTTCAATCCCCCGGCAGGGAGGTGACGCACATGCACAGAGAGCTCTCCTGTCTTACCTGCTGCTCCCCTCAGCAGCGTACTTTAGTCGATCTGCCTGTTCTGCTCCCCACTGTCTCTGGTGGATCCTCTCACCCCCTTCACCTCTGGCCTGTACCCCAGTTCTTCTTTGTATAAATAAATGATTCTTAAAAAAAAAAGCACACATCATGTTCTATGCCCCAATCTTAACTCAGTTTCCTCAGCGGGCCAGGCCAGGAGGCTTCATGCTGCACAAGCCTTCCTCACACCCCCAGCAGTGGCTCGTCTCTTCCCTCTGGACGCCAATGGCGTCTCTGACCTGCCCCCCCCCCCGGTCCCCAACACCTCTCTCACATTCAGCCCTGAATTATTACTATAGTGTGTGTCTCTGTCCTGTCTTCCACCAGACTGAGCTTTGTGCTATTAGGTAAAACTGTTGAGTTGAACTTTTAAGTAGATTCAACAAGTTCACATAGCACAATCAGACCTCAGTAATAATCTTGGGAATTTGCACTTGCTCCAACAGGTATTAAGAAGGCAAATCTATGGGTGTGAAAAGTGAAGGAAGCAATTGTTCCTTATTTGAGTTTATTAAAATCAGATACCTGTTTAGAAGTAAAAAGAGAGAAATGCAAGAAGTACTGATTAAATAATACTTCTATGGATTATTCTGACATATCAATGTCATCACCTACACTTTCACTATTATCAAAGCTGCATCTTACCAATGAAGTTGTGGCTATCCAGAGAAAGCAGTGGAACAGGACAATGTTCTTTCTGATCGTGCTGCAGATGGCTACCCCCATGTGTGCTATTTCCTGCCTCCCTGATCCCCAGCACCCCAACAGTCCCCACCATATGCGGATGCAGCAGCAGAACTCACTGGCTGATAAATTCTTCAGTTTTTCCATAGACATGAATGGAGCTCAGGCCACGTAGAGAGGCGAGGACGTGTGAGCACAGGGGAGAACGGCTCTGGCTGTCCAGTCTCTTGAACACATTGATGGCCCTCCTGAACACCCTGGTGAGAATGGGCGCCGTGACCTCACCATCTACTTCCGGGGTCATGCAATTCCAGGTTGGTCCCTACCACGCTAGAATTGCACCCCAAGTCACAAACCCTACCCATAAGCAAAAAGACCCCACTCACCTATAGTAAATGAGGCAAATGATGATGATGATGAGGGCCATCAGCAGGATATACGGAGACAGGATGCTGATGGTCAGCACGGTGGCAACCACTGTCAAGGACAGGATCAGGAACTCTTCCGCAAGGATGGGCAAGAATTGGTCCAGCTCATCCAGGTTCCCCGAAAAGCAGTTCAGGAGTCGGCCCGTTGGCGTCGTGTCAAAGAAACTCATGGGGCAGCGGAAAACCTGCAGGGACAAAGTCAACGGAGCTCATGCGCAGTTCCCTTTGGGACTTGTTACCCTCAGGCTCTGAAGGGTGCAGAATGAAGTCTAAGGAGCATGCAGGGAAGGTCAAGCAAGGGCTGATGTGCTGGGCTCCAGTGTTGCCTGGTGCTTTCGTCGGCTACGCATGGCCTTGGACACATTACTTAGCCCCTCTGAGCCTTATTTGTAAAAGGGGGACGGTAACAATGCTTCAGAGAGTTGTTCGTGAAGTTGTACAGCCCTGCTACACACTAATACTTCTGTTAAGAAAGGTAATCTTGGGCCCTCCCTGGTGGCGCAGCAGGTTAAAACACAGAACTAAGAAGCTAAAGCCACTTCAGCATGAATTCGATCCCCTCCCTAGAGGTGACCCACATGGCACGGCAGACCTCTCCTGACCCGCCTGCTGCACCCCTCAGCAGTGTGCTTCCTCGATCTGCCTGTCCTGCTCCCCACTCTGTCTCTGGTGAGTCCTTTCGCCACCCCTGTGCCTCTGGCCTGTGCCCCAGTTCTGTATGGATCACTCTTTAAAAAAAAAAAATGTGATCTGGTAATCTTATAAAGCCTCTACTTTAAAAAGAGGAAGGAAGGATGGAAGGTGGGTGGGAGGGAGGATACACACACGTTGGAAGTGCTCAAGATCAACCTGGCCTGGAAATAACTAGCTTTGGGGTGACCACTAACATCCAGGAAGGGACATCAAACTTTTAGAATCATAATTCCAGCAGCAGAGTGTCAGGGCCCTGCTCCTCCCACCCACTGACCCTGTGTGCACTGCAACAACACGACTCTCTGGAAAAGGCAGAAAGGTGGCACTAGCGAAAACAGATCCGTGATCGCCAGGGGCTGCGGGAAAGGAAGTGTTAAGGGGAAGGATATCCTAAAGGAACTCTGCAGAGTCTTGTGGACTCCACCCCCTACTCCAGTGACTGGACTCTATCCCCTACTCCAGTGATTGGAAACTACAACTCCCAGCAGCACCAAGGAGAGAACTGGAGGACCCAAGGGCGGAGCTAAGCAGGCATTCTGGGGCTTTGGGGGAGAAATAGGGAGCGGGTTTCCAACAGCTCTCTCACTCCAGCAATGGCTCTTGGGACCATGTGACTGGGGACTTTCAGTTAGTTTGTTACCAGAGCTCCAAGTCAGCCCAGCCAGTAAGATATTCCAGTTGTTTCCTTTGCCTTTCCCCTTTTGTAAATAAACCCGTTTTTGACCCTTTAGTGTGCGCCTGCAGTACAACTAAATTTAAGTGCGTGGGTGAGGCCCCACAGACAGGCGTCCCAGTTCACATGGGGTGCCCTGTAACAGAAGGATGCCTAGATGGGCCCCGGGAATGTTGAGGGCAGTGAAACTATTCTGATGATACTGAAAAGGTGCATCTATGTCAACGTACACTTGTCAAATTCCAAATGCAGACAAAGAGTAAACCTAGTGTAAACCGCAGGCCATAACTCATAGGAACAATGGGAAAATATTGGCTTGTTGATGATAGCAAATGTCTCATGTGATATTATGCAAGATATGAGTAACAAGCAAGCTGGGGGGGGAGATTATGGATGTTATGAGAATTCTCTGTCTTTCTGCTCAATATTTCTGTAAATTGAAAGCTGTTTGAACACAGTGGCTAGCCATTTTTCAAGCAGGGGAGGGGCAAGGCCAGGGCTCAGCCTTCAGCCCATCCTGAGCCCAGAGCTCGGAGCCCAGGCCGCACCTTCCTGAAGAGCTTGTTGTGTAGCACCGTGGACGCCTTCCTTGTGATCCTGCTGAAAGCCCAGGAGAAACAGACCCCCACGCAGATCAGCACCAGGGTGATGAGGCCGTACACCAGCTGGTAAAAGGGCAGCTGAGGGTTGTCCAGGATGTCCCCCGGCTCGGCCGTGGTCCTGTTGGTCTCGAGGCTGCTGTTGGTCTTCAGGAAAGAGCAGAGGGTGTGATGGGGTCAGAGCCCCTCATTCCCAGCACAGAGCCCCTAAAATATTGTTCTTTGCTTTGACTGGTTTCTGTCAGAAGAGGTTCTCAGACCCCAGAATCATGAAAGTGTTTGACCCTGCTTCAGTGTGGGGCTGGTCACCAGAAAGCCTGGTCTCCACTGGATGCCTGGAACACTCTGCCACTGCCCTCCTGGGGAGGGAACAGCAGAGTTGAGCACCATAAAATTCCAAAAGTGCAGGATTTAGGGAGCTTACAGATTGGTGAACACCCCACCCCCAGGAGGGTCGTGCTTCCACACCCACTAGGAAAGTAGCCCCTGCACTCGGGACCTCCAGACCACACCCTCTGCCCCCTTGTCTGACTGTTCCTCTCATCACATTCCTGGTAAGAAATGAGCAAAAGCATCTGTTGAGCTCCAGGACCCATTCTAGCAAGTTCTCAAACTCACTAAAGGGATCGTGGGGACCCCTGACTTACAACTGGTTGATCATGGGACAAGTCCAGACGTGGCTGGGAACTGAAGTGGGGGGCATCTTTCAGGACTGAGCCCTTAGCCTGTGTGGCCTGTGCTAACTGGGTGGCAGTGAGCAGTGACAGAGTGGGGTTAAACTGCTGGACACTGGCTGGGGTCTGGAGAAAAGGCAAATAGCTCGGGGGGGGGGGGGAGGTTGTGAGAACCCAGTGGGTGTCAGAAACATTCTGCATGAATATAGGAAAAGGGTGATTTTTTTTTTTTAGGGAGTCAGACCAGGGAACATTCAACGGGGAGAAATCCTTCTCCCTGGGGCCACATAACTCAGTAGCAGGTACACGGTCAAATTCCACGTTAAAACAGTCCTGCTCCAAGCTTCCAATTTGCCCTTCCTGCTGCCTGGACCTGCCTCCGCTGTTTCCTGTCCCTGCCACAGTCTAACTGGCTCACCCCGAGGCCATCGCTTTTCTCACCCATCACCCCTTCCAGGAGATGGTTCCTAACTCAGCCCCAGGGCCACGATGGGGTCCTCTCACAATGCACCTCTGGCCTACTGCAGCCTCTGTCTAGTGACACGACTTCTGTCGGGGTGAAATGGCTTGGTAAATTACTTCACTCTGTGGCACCAGAAATCTGAGCTAGAATATCACCCGCTAGCCTATACCACTGCCACACAGAGCAAAGCCTGGAAACTTCCTCCCCAGCCTCTTTGCAACAGTGGACAGCTTCTAGGAAGAGCCACGCAGGAAATGTGCAGGCTCAAAGTGAGGCCATCACGGCTGGTGGCAACAGCGGGCCGGTGTGGCGTTTGGCCAGGGCTCGTGAGTCCTCTGGGCTTCTGTTTTTCTGACCAAGTCCTGCCAGAAATGTGGCCAAGAGTAGAGCAGTAATCAAAGAGAGCACCGAAAAATCAGGACTTGGATTCAGAGTGCCAAGTGCAGGTTCTGGCACCTTCCAATCCCAGGGCATGTTCTTTATCCTCTCTAAGCACAGTTTCCTCACACAAAAAGGCAGGCAGTGCTGTGGCCCTCTGGAGGTGCCTTAGAAGGTAACTAGCTAATCTGGCACATGATGGCCGCGGGCTCAGAGGCCTCACTGCAACTTAACGCCACCCACAGCCCTGCACGAAGAGTCATGACCAGATCTAGCAGTTTCTAGAGGCTGGGGGAGGGGGGTTTTGGGGGGATGCCTGAGAAAGCTCACACCTGCAAGGAAAATTGTCATGTCTTGTAGCCAAGCCCCTGACCTGTGCTCTTCAGAGCACCTCCTTAGAGAACGGGCTCAGAGTGTGACTATGTATCTCAGGCAACTCAGTTCTTGGATTATACACAGAATTCTGTAGAAGTCAATTACCCTTACGCAAAGCAGAGAGTTCAGAGCCTCCCTGCTGTTATAGGAGTCGCGTCTCAGCACTATCACTGTACAGCCTGAGTTCGACCTGCCCGCCTCACACGCTGGGCCCCTTAGCAGTGTATTTCACAGATGCGTCCGTTCTGCTCCTATCCTGATCTGTTAGTAGATCCTCTCTGACTCGGGCCTCTCACCTCCCACACCTCTGGCCTAAACAGATGCATAAATAAATAAAATTAAATGTTTTTAAAAAGAAAAACAAACCCTGAGTATTCAATGTTAAAAAATAACAGCAACAACCTTTCATAATCTGTGTTACTATGAATTTTATGGATTTTATCCTAGACAGACACATCATTCTGAGTGAGGAATTCTAGTCTCAAAGAGGGGACCCATTCCTGGGAGATGTCATTTCAAGGGGTCTGGAAAGTGAGACTTTTCCTCCTTCCTTACCCACAACTGGTAGACCCATCCGGAAGAAGTATGTCCACACCTACCAGATGCCAGTAGTTTGCCCTCGGACTCCATGAGCCCCAACACCACGCATTCTTCCTTGAGCACCCCCAACTCACTGCTGGACAAATTGGCACGAAACACAGCTCCTCCTCTTGCTGCCAGCAGACACAGCCTGGAATCTACTTTCCCTGCTTTGGGTGTGTCTGACTGTGTCCCTGGCACGGCCCCCACACCCCACAAGGCGTAGAGCAGTTTTGTACAAGCTGAGTAAGGAGGCCAAACACTGCCACAGGAGGAAGTCACGATGGTGGATCATAAAGCCTTCGTGGGGAGCTGTCTGAGGACAGACACCTCTTGGTTTTGTCCCCACAAGACAGCTGGTTCTTTGGCCACAGGAGGCCGAACCAGGAAAGAGCCTCCAGTGCAGACCCCAGGGAGCTCTAGGTGTTACCTCAGCATTGGCAGGCCCGGGGCATCTCCGAGGCTCTAGCCCCTGCTCTGGCCCACATGGGCCCCAGACCTAAGAAACCAGAAACCACCCCATTGCACACGAGCTGACAAGCCTCTCCCCCCACCACAGCACTCACCCCTGAGCCCTGCTGCAGCCAATAGCTCAGCCACCAGAAGTTGAAGGTTGAGAGGAAGATGACCAGCACCATGATGAGGATTACCAGGGTAGAGACCACGCAGCCTGGAGAGAGAGTGGGGCGGACAGCTGATAAGAAGCTGATCTCATGCCCTGGGATCCCCCTGACACATGGGGAACTGGAAAGAACTGGGTTTCAAGGTCAGAAAGCCATGGGTTCAACTCCTGCCTCCACTACTCACAAGCTAAGTGACCCTGGGCCGGCAGCCAAATATCAGTGACAATCCATGTCCTGACCTATGAAGTGGCGAGTCTCCCTGCCTTGCAGGCTGCTCTTAAGATAATATGATAACGTTTGTCAAGCACCCACCCCATGTTTGGTATAGATGCAAAATTCTAGAGAAGTTGACTGTCCTTCTGCAAAACCTGAAGTGAGGACTCAATTTTGAAATGAACAGCAGGGGCCTTTCATGGAGTTTCTACTATCACATCCTGAGCCAGGCATTATCCTAGACGGACACCTCATTTCTGAGCTAGAAATTTCCAGAGTCTCCAAGAAGGGAAATAACTTGCCCAAGTCACAGAGCCAGTGAGCGGTGGGTCTGACTGAACACAGCCAGGGATGAGGGAATCCTTCAGCATCTGCCGCTTGGGCCTACACTCCACCTGCCTGTGTCCCAGGCCCATTGTCTTTTCTGAACTCCAGCCTTCCTCCAAGCCCCATCAAAACCACCTCCTACACTGCTGATGCCAGAGTCCATGCCTGGCCCAGAGATCTCTCTTTCTGCCTGGTGGATGTTTCACATCCCAGCTGGAGTCCACTCCAGTCTCGGTTCTTAGGTGGCTCTATGTCCCCACCCTCCAGAGCATGGCCCAAAGCCTGGCCCATACTAAGTACTTTGCAAATACAGATGAATTGTTTGCTTGATTCTTTCATGCATTTCACAAGCATTTGCTGCATATCTTGCCTGCAAGGATGCCTGAGGTGGAAGGGGTGAGGATGGGGACCCCTCCCTGCAGTCCACCTCTTCCTCCCCCAGCCTCACAGAGACACACCTTGGGATGGCGGGCCCTGCTCTCTCTTCCCCTCGTCTGCCTCTGGCCGCCTCTGATGCTTACCCAAGTGGCCTCGGATTATGCCATGCCCCCCTCCCCACTTCTCCAGTCCATGGCTATCAACTTACTGCTTCATGAAAATAATGTGCGCGCCTGTGTGTAACCACACCATCTAAAGCAAGTCCCACGTGCATCTTAACACAGGAAGCAGGAAACAGAACTTCAAGCATGGGCTGGGAGTTACAGCAGTTGAGCGTGGTTAAATGCACCCGATAAGCCCAGGATGGCACATGGTAAGCCCAGGATGGCGTGACTCCTCTGCACCACTAGAGTGCACATCATTGCTCAGATTCTGCCTTGCCTGACATCGGGGTAGGGCTGGTCGGAGAGAAAGCCCGGCCTGGCCTGGGGCAACTGGCGGACCATACCTCCGGCCGCCTGGAGGTAGCGGTAATAGATGTTCCACGTCAGGGACCCTTCTTCCATCTGCTCCTTCTTTGTGAGCTGATTTTGCAGCCCTGTGTCATGTAAGAAAAGAAGGAAACTATTTGTCTCCCAATGAACCGCTTCTTCTTCCAGGATCCCAAGGAGACCTTGCAAAGTTTCCACACTCCACCCCATGTCCCCCTACCACACCCATCCCTGCTTCAGCCTTTTCTGGGTTCTAGAATTATCATTATTGTACTGTGCAACCTCAGGCAAATTGCTTAACCTCTCTGTTTCCTCACCTGAACTGGGAGGCCTATACATGCATTCCTTGCTTTCTGGCTGCTGTGCCCCACCCAAGCCTGAATCCCACCAGCAAGTTTCCCTGGAAGATTCTGCTGAAGGTTATCTTTGAAATGAACTTCAGAATCCCAAAAGGGGGTCCATCCCAAGTCATTCAATAATCCTGGGGTTCCTAAGAGCTTGCTGGGTTAATAAGAAGAAGGAAACAGAGATTGAAGAAAACAATAATATGGGACCAGGAAACCTGGGTTCTAGAATTACCACTGCAATACTGTGCAACCTCAGGCAAATCGCTTAACCTCTCTGTTTCCTCCCCTGAACTGGCAGGTCTATGTATGCATGTTATACATGCAGCAATGTACTTCTGACACCAACCCAAGGCAGACGCTCGGCCCAAAGCAGGGCAGAGACCCGTGTCTAAGATGTCAGCAGATGCTGTGATGACAAGCAGCAGCTCCTGCTGGAGCTGTGCTGTGCAGAATGCCTGCTGTTTCTGTCAGACACTGCCTTCTTCTGAAGCAACGCCCTACTCTTTTTCATGGGAAAGAAGGATCTCTTCCTAGAAATTAAGTCTTGAGGGTGATCACTAACATGGAAACAAGTGGAGCAGGTTTTCTTCAAAAAGACCAAAAATTACAAGTGTTGGGGAGAATGTGAACAAAAAGAAGCACAAGTCCCCTTGTGCATGGCTGGTGGGGACTTGCACAGCCTTCACAGGATTGCAAAATATTAGGTTTCTCAAAATATTAAGACTGAATCTACCATATGACCCAGTAATTCTACTCCTAGGCATCTATCCAAAGAATACAAAAATGCTAAGTTTGGAGTTTTACTCCCATATTTACTGCAGCACTGTTCACAATAAGTAAGCTATGGAAATAACCTAAGTACCCAAGCCACCCAAAAACAGAAGATTGATCAGGAAGGTGCAACCATGGAATACTACTCAGCAATAAAAAAGATACTCTCTTGCATTTGTGACAACATGGAGGATGGAACTGGAGGGGATGTTATGCTAAGTGAAATAAGTCAAAAAATGAAAGGGAATTACCAGATGGTGTCACTTATTTGCGGAACACAGAGATAAAGTCAAACCAATAACAAACCTGAGAAATCAGATTCTAGAACTGAGGGGAAGAACAAGGAGAAAATGGGGGAAGAAGCACAGTGGACTATGGTGGCGGACTGTGGGTGCTTCGTTAGAGGGTGTGCTGTGGTAACAACACCTGAAGGGGGAGATGTATACCCCTAAAATACAAGCAATTAAAAGAACACCACAATTAAAATAAAAAAGGTTGTGTATACATTCCCATTGCTTGGCCCCTCGTTACTGAGACCTGACTCTTCAAGCTTCCCTTTCATTCTGTGAACTACAGCCTTTCCTGCCATTTCGTTGTTTTTTCTGCCCAAATAAGTTTCTAATCTTTGCAGCGGAAGACTCTTAGTGACAAGAGGCCTGTTCTGGAGGCTTCCCTACCCCTGGCCTCATCTACTGTCCACTAGAATCCTGTGAAATGAGCACTGCACGTCCATGTCTGCCATGAGGGCCCAAAGAGGTTGCTTGGCCAAGGTGATAACTTTCTAAGCAGCAGAATGAGGACTCAAATACAGAAATTGTGTGACTTTAAAAGGGAGCTCTTGGCCCTCCCTGGTGGCGCGGTGGGTTAAAGCACTGCTAAGAAGCTTAAGCCACTTCCGCATGAGTTCGATCCCCGCCTGCCCCGATCCCCGCCTGCCCCGGAGGTGACCACATGGCGTGGCAGACCTCTCCTGACCCGCCCGCTGCTCCCCTCAGCAGTGTACTTCGTCCATCTGCCTGTTTTGCTCCCCACTCTGTCTCTGGTGAATCCTCTCACCCTCCGCATCACTGGTCTGTACCCCAGTTCTGTACAAGTAAATAAATAAATCTTTAAAAAAAAAAAAAAAAAGGAGCTCTTTCTGTTCTGCTACCTTGTCTCAAAACAGAGCAAGGACATGCGCTTCTGGACAGCAGGGACCAGAGTCTATGTCATTTCTGATTTCGAAATATTTGCTCTCAGCCAATGTGTAATGAATGACTGTGTGGATGTCTGGCAAAGTTTCAAGGGTGCACACTCCAGGCCCAAGCCCTCCCCTTCTTGACTATCCTACACTCTCCACTGTGTCCCCCAGTGACACCCATGTTCTGGATCCTCCAGGCCTGGTCCTGAGCAGTACAGTCCACACCCCACAGGCCTCAGCTACCTAGACCTATAGCCTATGTATGTGACATCTAGTATCCCAGACTTGGGGGTGGTGGGGGCGGTGCACAGAGTGGCAGGGGCGGTGTGTGGCCACTCTGGGGTCCAGGAGGAAATGCCAGGAGCCCTAGGAATAGGTGGACATGGACATTCTCACCATGGTCCCCAGCACCATAACCAGCATTTTCACCAAGCGGCTCTTCTGGCGGGGAAAGCTGGGCCTGGCACTCTGCCTGTGGCTCTTCTGCTCGCTTTGTTGTGTCCTGCAGCTGGTCCTGAGGAGAAAGCACACGCTCTGGATGCAGGGGGGCTCCATCCCACAAGAAGTGGGGGTGCCGTGGGGTGGAAATCACCTGTGTGGCCTCCTTGAGCATCTTCTGGATGAGTCTGGCATATTGCCCCTTTTTCTGTATTAACTCACTGTGAATTCCTTTTTCACAGATTTTCCCATCTTCTAGCAAAATGATCTGGTCACAAAACTCTAAATACTAAAGGGTCAGAAGAAATAAGGTCTTCAGTAAGCACATGAAAAGATGTTGAACTTCATTATGGAAAAGGGAAATGTAAATTTAAAGCAAGGTTAAATGCTACCTGACCACCAGGCTGGCAAAGCTCTCTTCTGGACAACGCTATGTTGTGATAATGGTGACAGAGGGAACTGTCGTAAAATTGGGGAGCAGGGACATACGTTGGCACAGCTACTTTCAATTTGACAATACCTAGAGTCTCCTGAAGAATTCTGAACCAGTAATTGACTCTTAAACCTCTTCTAAGAAAACTCTCAAATGGGTACATTAACACACAAGTAGAAGGGTGACACGGAAGCAGTTTTGGGGGGCAGTGAGAAGCAGGAGGCAACCAAATGCCTATCGTCGCAAATAAACTCCTACACAGCCAGAGAGGGGGACACAGACCCACCACCAGGTGAACGCAGGTACGTGCACCAACATGCAGTATGTCAAAACAGAAAGCTTTGGGGACCTCCCTGGTGGTGCAGGGGGTTAAAGCACAGCACTGAGAAGCTAAAGCCATTTCAACATGAGTTTGATCCCTGACCCGGAGGTGACCCACGTGGTGCGGCAGACTTCTCCTGGCCTGCCCGCTGCTCCCCTCAGCAATGCGATTTGTCAGTCCGTCTGTTCTGCTCCCCACTCTGTCTCTGGTGAAGCCTCTCACAGCCCCTGCACCTCTGGCCTGTACCCCAGTTCTGTATGTACAATTAAATAAATCTTAAAAAAAAAAAAAGGCTCTGTGGGAAAGGCAAATTATCAAAGAACAGGGAAGGTAAAAACGTGATACATGAAACTGGATCACTTTATCAGGTCTAGAGATGCAGACAGATATTGTCAAAGCCAAGGATGTTCCTGGACTAGTGAGCCACAGGGTGAGATGAGCAGGAGGCAGGGAGCGAAGTCTCCGTTCATTGTTTCATCAGGGCAGAAATGTGAGTTGTCATCAGATTATTTCCTACACCTTCCTTATGTCTTAAATATTTTAGACCAAAAATAGTAGAAAGACCAAAATAGAAGAAGAAATAATAATAACAATAGTAATGTTTGCAGCCCAAGGCCAAGTTTGAAAACGTAAGAGCCAGGGGAAGAGGTAGCC